CTACGAATGTGGTATTCCGGTAGATCCCCCTGCACAGTGATATGGACTACGGGACAGCACCCGGGAGATCCACTAATTATTTACTTTTTGGGCTACAGGACGGAATCCTGGTAGACCCCCGGTTGTTATCTTTAAGTTGAGTTGTATACCTTCTGTGATTATTTGCCTTGGTTGTGGTTGTTGTTTCTTTCATTATCTCTATTTCTTTACTACTGCTCATCTTCCTTATATATTATTGTATATGACCGGTAGGGCCCTGACCTTCCTCGTCACTACTCGACCGAGGTTAGGCTTGGCACTTACTGGGTACCGCTGTGGCGTAATCATGCCCTTTCCTGCACATGTTTTTGCGTGTGCAGATCCAGGTACTTCCACTCTGTCTTATCACCCTTGAGGCGAGGCATTTTCTATAGAGACTTCGAGGTATATCTGCCGCGTCCGCAGACCGAGGAGTCCCTTTCCATTCTCTGTAGTAGTATAGCCCTTCTGTATCTCGTTGTTGGTAGACATTTCTGGAGTTAGAACATTTTATGTACTCTTAGCTTGTGATTCATGGGGTTCCGAATTTTGGGAGTGTTAGGTTGAAATTCTTGGATTGTTATATCCCGGGCGGCATCTTAAACAATGTTATACTTTGTTATCTCAGTTTTTATTAGTTTCTTTTCCGCAATTATTTCTTTTCCGCATTTGTTAGGCTTACCTAGTCATAGAGACTAGGTGCCGTCATGACTGTTCACGGAGGGCGAACTTGGGTCGTGACAGATTACTTATGCTTTGCGTCAGTTGAAGCCTCATGAGAAGAACTACCTTGTTCATTATTTGGAGTTGGCAACCATCGTTCATACATTGAAGATTTAGAAGCATTACCTCTATGGTATGTCTTGTGAGGTATTTACAAATCATCGGAGTCTCCAACACTTGTTCAAATAAAAGGATCTAAATCTGAGACAGCGGAGATGGTTGGAGCTGCTAAAGGACTATGATATTACCATTCTGTATCACCCGTGGAAGGCCAATGTGGTGGCCGATGCCTTGAGTAGGAAGGCGGTGAGTATCGGTAGCCTTGCATTTATTCCTATTGGTGAGAGACCATTTGCAGTTGATGTTCAGGCCTTGGCCAACCAGATCGTGATTTTAGATGTTTCATAGCCTAGCCAGGTTCTAGCTTGTGTGGTGTCTCGGTCTTCCTTATATGACCGTATCAGAGAGCGCCAGTATGATGATCCCTATTTGCTTGTCCTTAAGGATACGGTTCAGCACGAGGATGTCAAGGATGTTACTACTGGGGATGATTGGGTGTTGAGGATGCAGGGTCGGATTTGTGTGCCTAATATAGATGGGCTATGTGAGTTGATTCTTGAAAAGGCCCACAGTTCGCGATATTCCATTCATCCGGGTGCCGCGAAGATGTATCAGGACTTAAGGAAGCACTATTGGTGGAGGAGGATAAAGAAGGATATAGTGGGATTTGTATTTCGGTTCCTAAACTGTCAGAAAGTGAAGTATGAGCATCAGAGACCGGGCGGATTACTTTAGAGGCTTGATATTTCGGAGTGGAAATGGTAGCGTATCACCATGGATTTTGTTGTTGGGCTCCCACGGACTTCGAGGAAGTTTGATGCTATTTGGGTGATTGTGGATCGGTTGACCAAGTTCGTGCATTTCATTCCAGTTGGGACATACCTATTCTTCGGAGCGGTTGCTGAGATTTACATCTGTGAGATTGTTCGCCTTCACGGTATGTCAGTGTCCATCATTTCAGATTGGGGCACGCAGTTTACATCGTAGTTTTGGAGAGCAGTGCAGCGAGAGTTGGGCACACAGGTTGAGTTAAGTACATCATTTCACCCTCAAATGGACTGAGAGTTCGAGCGCACTATCAGATATTGGAGGATATGCTACGCGCTTGTGTCATAGATTTCGGGGGTTTCTGGGATTAGTTTTTGTCGCTCGCAGAGTTTGCCTACAACAACATCTACCAATCGAGTATTCGGATGGCTCCGTATGATGCTTTGTATGGGAGATAGTGTCGGTCTCCGGTGGGATGGATTGAGTCGGGTGAGGCTAGGCTAATTGGTACCGGCTTGGTTCAGGATGCTTTAGACAAGGTTAAATTGATTCAGGATCGGCTTCGCACGATGTAGTCTAGACAGAATAGTTACGCCAATCGGAAGGTCTGTGATGTTGCTTAGATGGTGGGGGAGAAGGTACTGCTCAAGGTTTCACCCATAAAGGGTGTTATAAGGTTCGTGAAGAAGCGCAAGTTGAGACCTCGGTATATTAGGCCGTTTGAGGTGCTTCAGAGGATTGGAGAGGTGGCTTACAAGCTTGACTTGTCGCCTAGTATGTCGAGTGTTCATCCAGTATTTCATGTTTGTACGCTCCGAAAGTATGTCGGCGATCCGTATCATGTTTTAGATTTTAGCACGATTCAGTTGGATGGTGATTTGATTTATGATGTGGAGTCGGTGGCCATTTTGAGTCGACGGGTTCGAAATTTGAGGTCAAAAGACATAGCTTCAGTAAAGGTGCAGTGGAGAGGTCAGCCAGTTGAGGAGGCTACTTGGGAGACTGAGCGGGACAAACGTTTGTTTAAGAGGGGGAGGATGTAATGACCCGATCGGTCATTTTGAGTGTTGTAGCCTCGTACCCCAATTTACTGCTCATTTTATGCTTAATTGTAATTATGTGACTTTCCGGAGTAGTTGATTCGGTTTCGGGGATGTTTCGGAATGAGATGAGACACTTAGTCTCAAGGTTGGAAGCTTAAGTTGAAAAGGTTGACCGGAAGTTGACTTATGTGTAAACGACTCCGGAATGGGTTTTGATGGTTCTGATAGCTCCGTTGGGTAATTTTGGACTTCAGAGTGTGTCCGGATAGTGATTTGGAGGTCCGTCGTTGATTTAGGCTTGAAATGGCGAAAGTTGGAAAATTAGAAGTTTTGAAAAATTAGAAGTTTGACCGAGAGTTGACTTTGTGGTTACCGGGCCCGAATTTTAGTTCCGAGAGTTGGAGTAGGTCTGTTGTGTAATTTATGACTTGTGTGCAAAATTTGAGGTCAATCGGACGTGATTTGATAGGTTTTGGCATCAATTGTAGAAGTTAGAATTTCTTAGTTTTCGTTAGGCTTGAATTGGGTGCGATTCGTGTTTTTGATATTGTTTGATGTGATTTGAGGCCTTGACTAATTTCATACCATGTTATTGGACTTGTTGGTATATCTGGTAGAGGTCCCGGAGCCTCGGGTGGATTTCAGATGGGTATTGAAATGGAATTTGACTTGGAGAAATGGCTGAAGTTTGCTGGTGCTCAAGTCTGGTTCCCTTATAAGCGATCGTGTGGGAAGGGCCCCAATCGCATAGGCTATTTTTTTGGGGCAGCTGAGGTTTTGTTCTATGCGACCGCAAGTTTTGGGCTGCGAACGCATAAGATGGAGGAGGCAGTGCATCGCGAACGTGTGGGCTAAGCCGCGTTCGCGAAAAGGAAATGAGGCAGGGCTGTCCACGCGTGTTGTTCTATGCGATCGCGTGGGTTCTGTCCACGATCGCGTAGGCTTGGAAAGCTTATGCATCGGGTTCGCGTGAGGTTTTATACGATCGCATAGAGTAAGTTCGGGGGGCAGTTGAGTTTGTGCTTCGCGATCGTGAAGCTTTTCTCGCGATCACGAAGAAGGGATAACTGGGTAGAATTTAAAATCTCAAAACGAGAGTTTGAAGTTATTTCACAATTTGATTTTGGGAGCTCGATTGGATGCGATTCTTGGAGATATTTTCAAGGGAGTGATTGGGGTAAGTGATTTTTACTTAGTTTTGGTTAAATTCCATGATTATATCTTTGATTTCATCATTTAATTAGTAATTTGGGGTGAAAATTTTGGGAAAAATGAAGAAAACTTCTTAGGCCGAATTTTGGGGATTTGGGCGGGATTTTGGTGTCAGATTTGAGTAATTTTGGAATGATTGGACTCGTGGTTGAATGGGTGTTCGGATTTTGTAACTTTTATCGGATTTTGACACATGGGCCCGGGGTTGACTTTTGAGTTGACTTTTTTACTTTTGATTAAGAACTTAGCATTTTCATATGGAATTGATTCCTCTAGCTTGAGTTGATCGTATCGAATTGTTTGTGGCTAGATTCGAGGCATTTGGAGGCCGTTTCGTGAGGCAAGGGCTTGTTGGAGTAGAGATTTGCACGGTTTGAGGTAAGAAACACTTCTAAACTTGGTTCTGATAGTATGAAACCTCGAATTACATGTTATGTGATTGGTGTTGAGGTAACACGCATGCTAGGTGATGGGCGTGTGGACGTGCACCATAGAAATTATGATTTAGTCGGTTCCATGGAACTGTGTAGCTATCTAATCTGAACATTATTACTGTACCCTGTGTGTTAGAGCACTTGAGTTGTGATTTGTGCTAGAAATCATGTTTAGGCTATATGCTGGTACCATTGTGACCCACAATGGTCGTTCTTTGTTGTTGAGTTATTTGCTTAATTGCAGTTATGTACTCAGTCGCATTCATCATTATGTGTCATATCTCAGTCTCTGTTATCGTATATTGTCACATCTCGTATCATTGATTTGGGCTGCTTAGCATGAGTTTTGTGAGCCCGAGAGACTGGAGAGATTGATGGTTGAGTAAGGCCGAGGGCCTGTTGGCTGTTGTGAGTGATATTTATGGGATCGGACTGCACACCGCAACAGGCTTTATTTATCCATGTTATGATTTGGCTTATTATAGTGCTTGGGCTGGATCTGCCCCTCTAGAGCCTACACACCCACAGTGAGCGCATTTGCCATTGATTCATTTGCATTTGGCTGGATCTTCCCTGGATTTATTTGCATTGGGCTGGATCTGTCACGCCCCAAACATAGAGAGCGCGACCGGCGCTCAACCGAGTGAACCCAACTAAGCAAGCTTATTAGATTTCTTCTACCCAAACTCACTCATGAACAAAGAGAGGACATATTTTCATTAATTAGAAAATAGGGAGGTCATGAATACAATACTACATCATTTCATTAGTTACTTTATCTTAAAATCTCAAAATATATATATTTTTCATAGTTGGAAGTGGAATAAATGATTCAAACACAATAAAATTTGGTCTGGCTTTCCCAGCACCCATATACAACCCACATTATGTCTACGGTACCTCTAATAGATACAAAAGAGTACAATAAAAGTTCCGGCAACAAGGCATCGGCTATACCTCAAGTACAATACATAAGGAACAAAAGATGCATAACTCCAAAATGAAATGGGGCTCACCAAGACTGGTGGGAGGAGGATGTGCCGCTATTACTTATCAACGCTACCTGCTGTGGAGCTACCTGCATCCATTTAAAGATGCACCGCCCCCGGGAAAAAGGACGTTAGTACCGTCGAATAGTACTAGTATGTATAACTAAACACCACCTCAATAGAATGAGCAATAATACAAGTAAGGACAACCATAATATCAGTTAAAGCATTGAACATTAACCAAACATCAAACAAGGGATAAGATAAGTTTCCAATTAAATTTCCATATTTTAAGTCCGGGAAGTCTATAGTACCAATATGCCACTATTCCCCATTTCGATTTCAATTCCCAATACAGTACCACCATGTGTACGGCATGGCGTCCGATCATGACTCGATCGGCTAGGCCATCTCATATGAGACATCAACCAAAATCACGATTTCAGTTACAATTTTCCAATAAATTCACCACCATGTGTACGGCATGGCGTCCAATCACGACCCGATCGGCTAGGCCATCTCATAAGAGACATCAACCGCAGTTGCAATTTCAATTACAATTTCCAATAGAGTCACCACCATGTGTACGGCATGGCGTCCGATCACGACCCGATCGGCTAGGCCATCTCATAAGAGACATCAACCACAATTAAATTATTTCACTTGGCACGTTGGCTGTATTCCATATTTCACATTTCATATTTCACTTTTAGTATTCCTCGCTTTGTATCTCATTTTGTATTCTGCTTTCAACAATCATCATAGATTTCCAACAACAAGGCATTTCTGTTCATAATATCTAAGCACACATGTGAGCAACTGAGAGTTTTAGGTAGATTGAGATTTCTTACAGAATTGTCATTAGCTTTCGTTTGAAACACAACTTCATGTCAAGGCATTTAAACATGCAATCCATACTTTGAACCATTTTTCAAACAAGAGTATAACATAACAAGAGCATTTAAATTGTATATTGAACATGGATATATTTTGGCACAAGCTTATTCGGAATGTTCAACTCACAGTGAGCAACTCGAGACTTACATGGATATTGTGGGGTTCAATTCTAAGAGAAGAGTTTAGCCATACATACCTCTATTGAGCTTCCTCAAACTCTAAAATATTCCGGAATTTCTTAGCAACTTCAATCTATTTTAAAAATGTAACAAATTGAACCAAAATTAGGAAGATGATCATGGTTCTAGCTCATTTGAGCATTTTATCAAACACTAGGTGTGCATTATGGTTCCAAGGTCCTCCTATGGTGGATTCCATCATCCCAAACCCATTATCTACCATTCTTATCTCAACAATCTTCTTACACCCTTTGATAACACGTGCATGCAAGGTGAACAACTTTTTGCCCAAAAATTATCTAACTAATTACCCAATTCTAGATAAAATTCGAAATTGAGGTTAGGGTGTAGAATCTCACCTTTAGGATGAAGACCTTGTGGGTTTTCCTTGTTAGTCTTTCAAGATTTGAGCAAGAATTGAAGAACAATTGTTGGGGAAAATTTTTCCACTCTAGGGCACTCTCTCACTCTAAAAATATCCAGGTTTTAGCTCAAGAAATGGTCTGTTGCTCCTATTTAATGAAATGGGGGTCGGGTTATAAAAAAACCCCGAATTCGCACAGCCCTGGCACATGGGGCATCGCGTGGGGCGCTGCGGTAGTGAAAAAAGTGCCTAGAAACGAATTTTGAAGTGTTCTGGAAATCCCACAGGCGCGCCGCGTAGGACGGCGCGGTAGTGTAAAATTCTGCCAGCCTTTGGTAATTTGGTCATAACTTCTTGTAGGAGTATCCAAATGAGAACGGTTTGAAGCGTTAGAAACTAGACTCAAAGATTTTTCATTTGATAGGTTGTTCATCACATAAATCCTTATTTATATGTGGATATGCTCGTCCAAAGCTTGGTCTTGTGAGTACTCATTTGGAACTTTAGTCTATCATAAAATTTTCCAACTTGCCTTGGACTTAGGCTTCTCCTTAGACCTTACATCACTTATAATATGCCTCGTACACTTATTATCGTATCCAATTGATATCCATCATATTAATATCCCCCGTCGGCATACAAAGTAATATAACTAGCATACATCAACTTTTTTAATAGCACTTAAGTAATTCAAAATTTTCCGGGGTGCTACAGAATCTGCCCTAGATTTATATTTTCATTTGGGCTAGATTTGCCCTGGGCTGGATCTTCCCTGTACAGTGCTGAGTGATTGAGTGTGATAAGTGAGAATTGATACAGCTAGGTTGAGTACTCCAAGAGTGGGAGTACGGGAGGCTCATATTGTGTTGCATTACATACGATATGTATATTGGCATGTAGATATAGTGATGTCTTATTCCTCGTATCATGCAGACTTGATATATTTTATCTGTTCTGAGTTTAACTGTTAGATTGAAAGCATGTCTGCATTTTCTCTACTGTAGCTCTGTAATTGGACTGTATCTGTGAGACTCGTCACTACTTTCAGTCCAAAGATTAGATTTGTTACTTATTGAGTTGGTTGTATTCACGTTACACCCTGCACTTTGTGTGCAGATCCAGGTGCATCCGAGCACAATGGTTTCCGATTCTTAGAGTTTTCAGTCATTCGGAGATTATCAAGGTAGCTTCCCTAGCGTCCGCATACCTTGACTCTCTTCCCCTATCTCTTAGTCTTTACTTATTCAGATTATATTTTCTTAGACAGTGTATCTGACTTTGTGTTTGTATAGATGCTCAGGTACTCAGTGACACCCTAGTTTTGGGAAACTTCTGTATCGAGTTGTGACAGTTTTATCCGGCTTTATGAGATTTTCCCTTATTTAAACTTGTTTTAGTACATTTTGAATTTGAGAGTGTCAGTATGTATGAGTTGTCGGCTTGCCTAGTATCATGATAGGCGCCATCACGACAGGTTGAGTTTTGGTCGTGACACTAACATACTTGCATGTAAATCCTCAACTACACCAAATATTAATTTCAAGAGAATTAGAAACCCATAAAATATATATAATAATCCTTGAACCCCACATGTATAAACAAAACCTAAATAGTGTTGCAACTCGATACACAATCTTCTATATGGAAATGGGTTTTGCATTCTTATGGTAGAATGGTCGGTGGTTTTGGTAGTTTTTTGGTGGCTATTTGAACGTGGAAATGAATGCATATCTGGTATCTCTTTGTATGTTTGGTGGGTATATATATATATGTTGGGCGTATGTTATTATATGTGATAGGTATCACTATACATACAATGACATATACGCGATAACAACATATCATTGTATGTTGCATGTATCTCATGTCCATGTATGTCTTTGTGTATGTTAAGTATAGGCTAAATACATAAGCTGCCACTTAAACTTACCTAATTTTTATATTTAATGCCTAAACTAGCCTTGTTCATAAGAACATTTTACCTTGTTAGAAAGTTGTATGGGTCAAAATATGATTAATGGAATTCGGCACGAGGAGATATTATTAGAAGTGATTAGGCCGAGGTCGAATAACAATTAATGGAACTTACTGCCGAGTAGTCGGTTATGGCCGAGGTCAAACGTTTAAAGCAATAGTAACGGCTAGTTTTGTAATAATATATTTAGGAGAATATTTCATTGAATATTCTTTGTACTTGTACTTTTAGGTCTAATTAGGAGCATGTCCCATATAAATAGAAAGGGATAGAGAAGGTAAAGGGTATGTATTATGTATTCTGATAAGAACTCTCTTAAAAAGTTGACTCTCCGGATAAATACAAACACTACCTTTCTAAAGAGATTCAATTCATTGTTTATTCTATACTTTTCACATCAGATCCGAGAAAGTCTCCAACATTCCTATAGTTATTTGTCTCACATAATTGTCAGAAAGAGGAATCATCCACCTCATTCAATATTGGGTGAATCATTCTCTTTATTTACATTTAGTGTCATTTATTGTTATTTAATGCTTGTTATTCTTATTCCATCATTAACCTTGAACATTTAATACACATTGAACATTTAAGCAATGCCTTCCTTATTTATAGAGCTCCAATTTGCTGATGTGTTCCTCCAAGAAGGGAATGACATACTTTTTCTAGTTGGAAGAAATCTGGAGATGATTCTCAGGCACTTTTACGCCATGAAAAATTCTGGTTCTATGTATGTTTGGTTTTTAAGGTTTTCTAAATGATTGGATTTTCTTTATCTTTGTTAATTCATCTATCTATATTTATATCTATATCTATATCTATATCTATCTATATTATTATAAAAGTACGAATGTCAGAATACTAAATGTTGATCGGCGAAAATATCTTCGAAATATTGATCGACTTTTATGCTCTTGCAATTAAATCATTCATTCAAAGAACTAGGGGTGGACGTCGGTCGGTTCGGTCGGTTATTATGAAAGTACGGTTCGGTTTATCGGTTTTTGGTTTTGTAATATTAATAATCAAATCAAACCAAAGTATTTATGGTTCGATGCGGTTTTTTCAAGGTTCGGTTCGGTTATTTCCGGTTTAGCTTTTCGGTTATTAACGATTCAAGATTTTTATATCCGATGTAGACTACGGATCTTTAGGTCGGCCTCTGGCTAGCAGTTATAGCTAAACAAAATTGCAAAGAAAAGCTTTTTCCCTTCCAATTTCCATATGAAAATCAGAAAGCTGTAACAGTGACTAATTTCTTTGGTATGCATTCTCAGACAGAAAATGGAAATACAAACCAAGAGATACACCATTTATGTAACTGAATATAGATAGACGTGCCATTGAAAGATTAAGAAGGAGGTAACCACTAACCTGAGGAAGAAGAATGAACGACGAGCTGAGGAAGAAGGCGTCACAGTAGTCGGGCGTCGGCAGCACTGCAGCAGTCGCACGGAGTGACGGATGAGGAACCGTAATTTCTAATTTCTTAGGAAGGGAATGGGAAGTAACTTAAGTCTTAGTATGTAGGCTAATTAGGCTTAGGATTTGGGTAAATTGGGTGGGCTTCAGATGGGTATTGGGCTTCAGATGGGTAACGTAAGTTTTGGACTCTCAAGAACCCATATGTTCAAACCTATTTTTCTCAACTCATACCCAAACTTTTGGTTTGTCGGTTTAACCGAAAACTGAAACACCAAAATCATAAACCGCACCGAAAAACTGAAATTTAGCTAGCGTTTGGACATAGATTTGATTAAAACTTGAAAAAATAATTTTTGAAGTAGTTTTGAAAAATAATTTTTGGAAGTTAAAATTATGTTTGGACATGCATTTTATTTGAAAAAAATTTGAAGTTTTGTGAGTGGGAGAACAAGTTTCACCCAAAAACTACCCTAAACTAGATTTTGGAAACTTGAAAAATAATTTCAGAAATTTTTTAAAAATAGATCATTAATCTATGAACAAACAATGTTTTCAAAAAAGATTTGAAAAAAAGTTGCCAAAATGTATGGCCAAACGGGAGCTTAATAATTTAAAAACCGCACACCGACCGAATAACCGATTAAATCAAAACTGAAAAACCAAAATTCACGGTTCGACTGATTTTTTCGGTTCGGCTGGTATTATGCCCATCCCTACAAAGAACTAACTTGATTTGAATAGAATTGGTAGTATTGAAAATTTAAAATCAACTAAAGCTTTATCTCTGTGAAATTAAACAATATTTAATTTACCTTAAATGATAGTGTACGCATATGTCCCCGGTTCGATTCTACGCATCTCCATATTCTACATATTTTGCTTTTTCTATTTTCCGATGATATGTTAAGCAAATGAATGAGAAAATGACAAAAATAGTCTCTTATTTATTGAAGTAGGTCAAAAATAATATCTTAAATATATTCCTAAAAAGTTTTAGTGCTTTAACTTGTCAAAAGTGAACATATTATGGTCTGTCAAATATTTGATAAACTCCTATTGTTCGATCTAACGGGAATTATGTATTTTTTGAGGAAAAATTAGGCTACCATCAAACTTTTATAATGTATTTACCATTTGTAGTTATACTTTCAGCAAATTTACTATTCGTAGCTATATTTGAATTTTATAGGATATCCATAAAATAAGAGGTTAATTGTTTTGAACTGAAACAAGAGAGCAACAAACTCTCGTAGCTTAATTGGTTAGAGTGCCCGCTTAATACAATATTTATTTTGATTGTCACTTAAATTTTATTATATTGTATCGTTAAATCCATCGTTACATAACGACGAAAAGTTGGGGTGGTGACGTCGTTCTCTTGCTTTTTTCTCTCATCTTGCCCTTTCTTATTATTAAATAGTCAAATTTTATCCTTTACCGTGCTTTTTATAGAATAATTCTACTTCGTATCCTATTTTTTCTTAGTAATGTTGCAAGTTTATTCTTTATATTGTTGGTGCGTGACATCATGAAGCGACAACAAACGATACAATTTATCCAAACATTATATTCATCAAACAATACAATACAATGCAGAACAATATAATACGATACATTATGGAACGGCATGGAACAACAATCCAAACAAGTTGTAACGTTCACTTTGATAAACCTAAAGGATAAAAATGATCAGAAGTATATTTTAAGGGACCATTTTATACCTATCCTTAAACATAAGGCAGAATGGCCTAAATGGCACCTATACTTGTGCAACTTTGTCATGCCGGTCCCCAAACTCAACAATTTGCCAACCAAACCCTTATACTCCTTCAAACCGTGAATAATAAACGCTTATGACGGGAAGCTGTCAGTGCGTGTAACACAATCTCTTCCATGTTGGCTACCACATCAAAAATAATAATGTGTAGATGCCATGTCACTTGGTAGATTAAAAATAATTAAAATCAAAAAATAAAATTCAAACATTAATCCCCTAATCATCTTCCTCAAATGATGCGATTGCTGTGAACAGTAACACAGCAACACTTCATTCTGCTGCCAGAAATGGGCATGTGTCGAAGCAAAACTGATATTTATCATATCTATTCTGGTTCAGATCAAGTGATTCCAAGCAGCGGAGATTGTTCTCCACTAAAAATACCATCGACCCACCAAGTTTCAGACAATTTCAATGCCGGAATAGTCTCCTCCAACCAACTGAATATGGCCGGCGAATACCAGTTGGTCGAGGATGGAGCTACAGGTGTCCAAATTGAACAAGACCAATACCAATTGACTCCAACTGAGCAAGTGATTGATGCCAAACGATCGAACAACAACTACAATGAATCAATCGTCACAATAATTCAAAGAATAAAATCTGCAGAATTGCAGACACCACGTGTTCGATGAAATGCTAAAGTCAGGGGAGGGGAGAAAGAATTGGAGAGAAAATGTTGAAGAGAGAGGAAAAAAAGAATTGGACAGAAAATGTTGGAGAGAGAGAAAAGCATAGAAGAAAAGCTCACTTTTTTTCAACAATGGAGGATGAACAATCGGGAAGAAGATGACAGCCAAAAAATGGCTCTTGGTGCCTTTTTAATAGGCCTCACGCTCCTTAAACGAGTGTAGCACACGCACTTCAGTAAAAAATGCCACATAGGATGAGCGGGGTTTAAAATGCTCAGTTTTTAAGGGTAAGGGAATTTGGTTGGTAAATTGTTAAGTTTGGGACCCGGCATGACAAAGTGGCACAAGTATAGGTACCATTTAAGTCATTCTGCCTAAACATAAAGATCTATATTTGTCAATTGCTCTAAATGGACAGAAACAATCATTACCGTTACGCCCAACCGTCAGCTCATCCTAGCTTTTCCAGAGTCATCGCCACCATGACGCCACCGAGTATCTCCGTTATCCCGTCCTCCTCCACCACCACAGTCTCTCCGAAACCACTAAAACCGCCGCTGGTTGTACAACCACAACTGCCGTCGCTCGAAACCAAGGTTTTCAGTCGCAGGAACGCCGTCGTTTGGCTCTCACTCATTGCTCCTCTCACTTATCCTGCGTCTGCTCTCTCCTTCGGCATATGTACTTATCACTAGTTTTCTTCAACCTAAAATTAAGAATAGTTTATCTGAAAACAATGAAATTTAGCCTAAATTTTAACTGAATTGCTTTTTTCTTTGTGCGAAATGTTCTCAGCAGGACCAAAAGAATGGTTAAGAGATCAAAAGAAGAAGACTGCCAAGTACCTTTTGGCTCCAATCGATGCTTCTAGAAACATCCTCGGCTCTGCTTATCTCTTACTCAGTACATACTAACATACTGTTTATTTGGAAATTGCTCTTTTTCTTCACATTTCTGCAATTCATGAACTGGATTAATTGCTTTGTATTTGACAGCGAGAACTGAACCTGATTTTGGTGAAAAAGAACTTGAAGAAGTTCAGAGCTTATTGAGATCTGCTGCAAGGGATTGTATACCTCAAGAGAGGAATTCTTTTGTTCAGTTTCAATCAAACAGTGGAGTTGAGGTTTGACCTCTGCTTTGGCTTTGATTTAAAATAGTTTACCGGCTTCTTGCTGATTTTGATGGACTTATTAATCACATTTAACTCGCGGCTGCATATTTTATTTTTAAAATTGCTAAGGTACTTAGTTCTAAACCAAGTGGTTTCACTTTGTGTATTGAGAGTTTTGCAAAGCATAGCCGGTCCAAAGTTATTACATTAAAAAGGATGTTGTAGGTTAATGGATAGAGTAAAAATGATCCAACTAAAAATCCTCTAAATATGAAATTGAGTTGAGTTGCATGTATACTGATGATCTGAGGCAGATGCAGGATTTGAACTTGATGGGTTCAACCTATAGAATTTTTAGCATTAAATTTATTATACCTCTAAAATTATGAGTTCAAAATGTATTTGTTAAAATATTAGTGTTTTGCGTGCACCCGCACACACACACGCACATACATATATATCCATGTCGAAAATAATGGATTCGGTTGAACCACTAGCTAATAAACTACATCTTTCGCTGCAATGATTCATATGGCCGATCTCAACTGGTTTGGGATTGAGCTATGGTTGATTGATTGAAGTGCATTAGTGGTGTGGACATGTTAATAATTCTTTTACATGAAGATTGTGTTTTGTTGTAATGCAACTTCCAAGAGTAACATGAAAGATAGGGAGGCGAAAACCATGGAAACAAAGCGAATAATAATGCAAAAAAGAGTGATAATGTTCACTCTATTTTCTAAGTTGATATACCTTTTTGACCTGTGTTGTATTGTATGTTCTTCGTGGCTGATATGGAAGATTCCTAATTCTCAGGTCTGCACTTTCCGGTTGGTTGTGAAAAATGCTTCTTCTTTGCTTGCTGACAAGGACCCGGTAAAGTTAGCAGCTGAGACCAAGCTTATTGATCTCATAAGGTAGCCAGTAAAACGTATTTTGCCTTCAAGGTGGAAGTTGTATTACCTGTTTATTAGCAGATATTCTAGAATATGTTTTTGTTAGTAGCTTAGCAACTTATCTTACGCTCAGTACCTGCTGGCGGTTAAAAAAATCTTGGTGGAGAAATTTCTCATTATGTGTTTCCATGGAACTATCCTTAATAGTTACTATTTAGTTTCTATAAGGATATGGAGGATGTGTACATTTACTGCCTGTTTGCCATATTTAATGTGCTCTGAAGACGTTAAAAGCCAGTCTTGAGTTATTACTATGAGACATATATGAACGTGTTTGTTTAGACTGGAGAAATTTGACAGAAATTTTGTGACACAATATTTCTGTATTTCATGGTTGCAGGTCTTTTGCTTCTCTCAGTGACATGGCAAATGAAATAGATGTGCAAGTTGCTTCTAATAGGTATGGCTACTGATTTGCAACAATCCCTATTTATTTTCTTCTCAAAACTTGTGTTGGTTTCTTTCACGTAAAATTTTCCATTTATATATGACTGACAAACATGATAACAAAATTAAATGTTTCATGCTTGCTTTGTCCTTGTCTTATGGCATGGATCTGCTCTACTTTTTACAGACAAAAGGTCGCAAATGCTCTCATGGATACAGTCACTTGTCTGGACAAGCTTGAGCAAGGCGTCAAGGAATGCCTAGAAGTTTGATGAATCCTTATTCAAGTCAAAGAATGAACAGGATGGATTCTGCATTTGCCAATTTTGAGATGCTTTTCCTTTAGGTTTGGAAGGGCAAAAAGAGAAATTGTAAAATAGGTTGTACATCCATTTAAAGTTCAAGTTTATCCTTTCATTGTTTTGATTTTCTCCTGTTAAATGCATTTTACCTCAGTCGCTATCAGTTTTAGTGAGCAGACATATCTTCACTTCCATTGAAATTACGAACAAGTGAATTATGATGCATAAAATCGACTCTTTTCTATTGTTTTTCTATGTGAAGAATTGATGGCATTACAAATTTGATGCTCTTTGCTCTACAAGTTACACAACCTGCATCAACTTTACTAGATATTCTGCCCACTTGATGTAGTGGACTGAGTTCATATTAGTTCTTGCCTCATGATACAATTAGGTAGTCTGTTTGGCTTTGTGGTATTCCTTTTCTATATAATGGCAGTAAAAGACTAAATAACAGAGCTTGGAAGGTTGTTCACTTGGAGCTTATGTGTATTGTATGGAAGGAAAGAAATCTTGGTATTTAATGGGATTAATAACTTTTTCTCACAAAATTTTCAATCTTTTTTTCTACTTTCTTGGAGCACATAGTGCTCACTGTAGAAAGCCATATTTATGTCTGCTGTCATTATGTACCTCTATAGTTTCTCCCTTTCCATGAGCACTATATTCATAATTATTAAAAAACAGTAATAATAGATATATTTGTTTATTGGTTGTGTCGGTAATACTGTCCAACATTTGTTAGTTGTACCATTACATTAGACTATTAAATTTCTTGCCAAACTTGCTCAAATCTACAATATAGTGATATGATAGTTACCTAAGCTGCATTGATCTCTTAGTGAGTAGATTTTCAACGTGATATGGTAAAGGTGATTCTTGTGAAGTCCAGGAATTGATATGAAAGCAGAACTTCAGGAATGCCTGCCAAGCAGTACGTACTGAGGGATTGGATTATGCTTAGCTATGCCCCAAACAGAACTGAGAGACTTGAATACATAGGATAAGAATATGTATCATAAGGATTGGATTACGCTGTTTTAAGCGTACCAAACAGAACTGAGAGAATTGAGTACATAGGGTAAGATAAGAGAATTGTATATATGAGAGTTTCATCTTCAACAATTTATAAAGCTAATGAATTGTCCATGTCCCGTGGACATTTCAATGTCAGAGTCAGCTCGACGATTTCAGAAGTAAAATCTGTAGAAATTGGCTATTTGTACATAGAGTGGACTCTATGAGTATGCTGAGTTTTTGTCATAGTTGACAATAGCCACTCTTGAGATTTACTCTATACATATAAGTGGTTAGCTATAATTTGAATCTCTTTACTGGATTGATGGAACTATATCCACTTTCCTCACGGGCTGTCAACTTTTCCAACTGAATTATAATTTGTATGATATACTCTTCTCATGCTTATTTGCTTTATCAGGGCTGACTAACCGTTCAACAACTGTATTTGCAAATAGTATGTAACTTGCCGCCACTGAGAGGATGACACATAAAACTTCTAGCAATAGCACAAAGAATTGGAATCGCTAACTGTCTACTGGCTAATTCAAGTATGGCAGTAGTTGCTAAGTTCAATGCTGCACAAATAAGGTGTTCTTCAGGTAGTAAATAGCTCACTCTTGTGAAGCTTCTCTGTTCCTTAATTGCCATTTGGTCATACTGACAAAGGATGTTTTCATTTTATATTTTATACATAATGTTTCTATGTTGCTCGGGATATAGAACAAACTTTTTCGGAGATTGGGCAAAATAGTGCGCTGTTGTCTCTTTTTAAACTCTTGCAAGAGTTAGAACTGGAGGGGAAAGAAGGTGCTTGAAACATGATATCATGAACCTTTTTTAAGTATTACCTAGATCTTGAAAACATAAAAAGTCTACTAATCACAGGTTAAATAACATAGTCACACGTATAGCTAATTGGTAAGATGACAATTACAATCAATGAGGAGTGCTTCTAATCTTAACAGTAAGTTAGACTTTATTGGTGAACTATTCTTATAATATTCACAAAATAGTTTGATTTGGTGGCTCTCCAGAAGCTTGAAGCAAATACAACCTACAACATGGTGTTCCATCATCTGGGTGAGTTTGAAGTGACCTGGGCAAGTTGCGCAACTTGTTGAACAAATTTAATGGGTCATGCAACAGCCCAAAATGGGCATCTGGGTCACCAATTTGAGAAAGTTTAACATCAGCAAATCCTAGTGATGGCAATAACTGATCAGGATAGTCGCTATAGAAATGGAAATTTGAGCTGGACATTGTGGTTGATTGCTTGTTCATGAAGTCCGCTAAGAGTACTGTATGAGCAAAGGTACAGTTATTTGCGATAATCTTCAGTACTTCCATTGCATTTGAGTGCGAGAGATAGTAGAGAATGCCCTCTAATACCCACACTGTATTCTTATTTAGCTTTAAGCCTGATTGTTGAAGCTTTTCAAGCCAGTCCTTTTCTCTCAAGTCAGCTGCCACTCTGTTCAATGATTTTACCATCATGTTTTGCTTGTTTGTTGCCTCTGCTGCTGCCTCTAAAATAGTGGTTTTCATTAGCAGAACTTCGGGAAAATCAACTTCAAAAATGTTACTGTCTTTCAAGCAACTCAAGCGATATGCCCTTGTATCCATACCTGCAGAAGAAGAACAGACACTGGTTTGCTCTATAACATTTTCTCTAAATGAAATCGAATAGCTTCCAAGGACTGAGCAATGAAAATACTAGGTGAAATATGCATACCCTCTTGTGGTGGACAATCTATGTCTATTCAGTGTTCAATCTCCATGTCGAGGCCATAACTCAAAGGAATTAAATAACATTCTGTTCATCAAATTTTAAATGGATGTATCAAATTACCTAGTCGTTATTTGTTTTTTCTAGAATTCTTTTATCTAAACATAGTCATAGTTGCTCCTAAGTGAAAGGACTGTATTTAATGAGAGACTATTTTTATCATCAGATAAGATTAGTGTATCGCCAGTTGATGGCTAGTATTTTGGGGATTCAGAGCTGGAATCTGTTGCATCTTGTTAATGTTTAGTTGGTATATGAATCACTGACATATTAATTTCCTGTGATGGGGTGAGTGACAATTGATCAGTTCAGTGACTGGCTACTAACAGGGTGTATGTAGGATTTTGCATAAGCGATATCAGTGTATTGACACAATTCAGACTTGTAAGTTTATTTGGATTTAGGACTGCGGTTATTTTAAGGCTTTACTTCTGGTCCCAATTTGATGTTGCGAAGCTGTGTCAGATGACACCTCTTGTCCCTGCCACTGACTACAAATTACTAAATGAAAACTAGTCAATTGCCATTAAGTAGCAAGAAGTATACATCTCTATATCTAAAATGTCACAGGGTATATATAGTGCAAGAGATCATGTTGAAACATCACTTACCTGCTCCTAGAATGACAACTTGTGCTCCTCCACCATCAAAGGAATTAAGAGCTGCTTCAATTCTTTTATCAAACCATAGTGTCCTAACAGCAATGATAACTCCAGAAACCTCTCTAGCACTGTTGAGGATGTCTTTCTTAATCTTCTCATACAACTTCTTCAGGTATGTCTCTCCTGCAAGTAACTCTGCTAATGGATCATTTATCACTTGTTTCCATAGTGCCCTTCCTGCTGCAGTTTGACGTGCCGATTGTCTTAAAGAGTCCCAATTTTGCTCTATTTTTGAATGAATTTCTCTGATGGTTTCAGTGTACAAAGAATCAGGTAGTATAAAATCTGGCAAGCTACCATTTTCTTGATTAGACATTATTGTGCTGATTTTTAGTGACTAATAGAAGGGAAGAACTAAAGAGATAAGCCATGCAATATATAATAAAACAAAGAGTACTATTGAGAGGAAAAAGGTTGTTATTAGGGATAAGGAAAGACAGCCACACACAACCAACGTCTGAGAAAAATAGCTCAATCGTGTCCAGCTTCTCTGTGTTAAGTAAAGGAAGGTAATGAAGCAGGCCACGACAACCATCAATTTTCATCCCTTTGCCTAGCACTCTTTGATTCTTTCCCCCTCTTAACACTATCTTTAACGAGCTAGGAAATTTTTAAATTAAGAAAGAAAAAAAAAAAGCGTAAACTGGATCCGACATGTTGGTCTAAGACAGTTGATAGATACTCTTAATATAGTGTAATATTATCCGCTTTCGATCAAGCCTACATGGTTTTCTCCAAAAAGCTTCACATTATTAATAGTATCATTACACCTTACTTATAGCTTCTTTTTCTTATCAACTTACAATGTGAATGGGAAAACTTTGTTCACACATCCAATAATCTTCCCCTCTAAGTATACCATATAATCCATCACCAAAATTTATAGGCTTATTTGGAAAGCCACGAGCTTTTCGTATCTAGATAGCCATGAACTTCTTCTTGTGTGTGCGCCAGCTTGCAAACGAGTAAAGACAGTAAGCCGACTTTTTTGCACCATCTCTATACTCGTGTCATTACTCTATCAGCTCTGATACCAATTGTTGGGCTAAAACAAGTCAAATATATTCTGAATATGGTGTAATATCGTCAGCTTTCCTTTGACTAAGCTCGTAGTCAGCTTTCCTTTTGACTAAGCTCGTATGATTTTCCCAAAAAGCATCATAATATAGTGTGATATTCTCTTATCAACTTTCAATGTGACCCTTTGTTCGCTCATCCGACAACATCGTCAAGGGTGGATGTAGATTTTTGAACAACATGTGCAAGAGCACAACCACTACCTTAGGGCCAAATTATATATTCATAAATAATAGAGATACACATAGATATGTGTACTAACTATATGCCCAGTGACGGAGCTAAAGTAAGGTCCAATTGAATCCCTTTATTTAAAAATTGTATTGTACATGTACGATAAAATCAATTTTCTTTTGCATATGGTTGAATCCCCTTTACGTAAAGGAACTTTTTAGATATTGGTTTTGCAATTTCTTTTCCAATCCCGTGGACAGAATTTCTAGTTTCGTTACTGCATGCGCCTAGTGAAAATAGGTAGGCGCAATTATCCACTTACCATTATCCACCACATGTGGTCTGTTATTAATAAAGACGGGTGGTCCTATCTTTTTCTGGCGTATGATCAAGTACTCATTTGTTGCCTTTGGTTGCCAGATGCGAACCTTTTTTGTGTCCTTGATAGGTTTTCTGTTTTTGTGCACGGTGAGATAGCTCCATTGTTTGGTGTTAAATGTTTGACTTGGATAAGGTTCTTGGAACGTTTTCACATATATAGCCTATGAATCTACAAG